CCTCTATTGATGTAACTAACCATGAAAAACATAGTTCTATTTTTAAATCACAAGGACCTGATACCACAGATATGCTTGGGATTGTATCTTGAGGTATATTTGCAACTAATTATTTGTATAATGTCTCAATAGTTCAAGACACACTTATTAAGAAATGAATATGTATTCATTGTTATCAAACTGATTACGTCACGTTATTCTCGATTGCTGAAGTAATTTACATTCAACACGCATTGATCAAGCAAACACCATAATGGATCAGATTCCGACGTGTGACCTGGATTAGAACATATGTGTTCTGTTCAACAAAAGTTGTATTCATATTCAATGCCACGGTGAACCATATGTAGTTATCTTCAACTGCAAATTAAAAGAAGATGAACAATTAAAGGAGAAACCTGCTCAGGAGTGAGACGACGTTTCATTCCCGGCAACTACTCGTCGAAATCAACCATGTTGAAGAAAGGCCGCCTCCTTTTCTCCATGCCTAAAATAGAGCTAAAGATCTAAATATACGATTACGCACATAAAAATCGTGAAGCACATGTAATGTAAAAAACTGTGAAAATAACACGCAGGGCAAAACGGGAATGAAGTTGAAAAATGACCGTCTATGGATACCTCGTAAACGTTAGTCGTCGCTGTTACTCCGGAAAAAACATGTTGGGGTGGCAATTGGCAAGACGGTAGAAGATAATACGCCCGGAATCAATTTATCTCAATACTCCGAGGCTAAATCAATTGGAGTCAATAGCCACACGTGTGACGTGTATGTGTGTATATATGTGAATGTTAAAAGATTTATATTTAAGTACCTCTGTAATTTGATGTAAATCGGGTGCGATTCTCGCTTAACAATTGGTATTTTTATACAATTATTATTATAATAACATTAGCTATCCAACGGGCATATGCGAAATCCCATCATGTAAACAAAGATGTTTTCCAGCTCTGACGATTTTTCTCCGGCAAGGTGGCAACCCCATTTTCCTGGAAAAAAACCAAAACCAAAATGACACACCCAAAAAAAAGGGCAAAAGGCAAAAATCTCCCAAAAATAAAAAGAACAATACCAAATTGCAATCGGTCTTCGCCATCTCTGTCTCCTTCCTTCTATTCCCCACCGACCTCCGAACGGAAAAATCTCATGATTTGGACTTAAAGTGAAGAAGAAATTCGGGTTTCCGACGCCGACGGAGCCGAATTCCGCCGTCACGGAACTGAATATCCCGACGTCGTCTTCAAGGACTTGTCGAATAGGCAGCGGAGGTCCTTCGACCTGTAGCTAAACTTAAGAGCGGGCCCGGCCCGAGCCTGACTTCGAAGTTGATGGAGAGCTTGTGGCGATCACCGACGGCGATCTCGGCGGAAGAGAGATGGACGCCGATGATGGTTAGGGGAATCGCCTTGAGAATTGGGGGTTTCGGGGTCCTCCCGGAGAATGAGCGGAGATTTCATTATGTGGGTTTTTT